AGCGGGCGCAGAAGATGCATTGCAACCGCAAGCCAAATTGTGCGGCTGCAGAATCCAAGTCTTTACAAGATGAAGCAATTTGCGGACCGCATATGGAATTGTGCGGCCACAAAACCTCCCGAGGGGCCCTTTTGTCAGCGAATTTTGGACCACTATAAATAGACGATAATCATATTTTTAGGTCGTTTCAAAGTTTGAGCTGTTGTAATAATTGTATTTTGCTATTTTAGGATTTAAATATCATATTTTATCATTTTAATCTTAGATTTTGAGTTTAATTAGTATTTCCTCTTTGTTTTCTCCATTTCTCACCATGATTAGCTAGATTTTTACTAGGGTTATGACCCAGCCCTAGTGTTTAAACCTTATGAGTATTTAATTTAATGCTTGTTTATGATTGAGTGTTGATTATTTAGACTAGTTTATGTTTTAATTTTAGAATTAATGGTTTCAAACATTGATTCATGCCTTTTTGACTTAGTCTTTGCATGAAAAAAAGAGACCTAATATAGGAAACCTTGGCTAACAAGAAATTGGGCTAATTAAGAGTTTTATTAGCCTAATTAAAGGGTTTGAACTAGAGGTAGTGAGAACCCGACTTGAGCTCATATCAACTATTTAGCTTGATACCCATTTGGGCTTGAGAAAGCCAAATTGAGCAAAATCACTCCGTGGCCGAGATGTATTGAGTGGGTAACTCAAAGATGATAGATATGATACACCTCCGATCAATAAAATAAGTATCAACGTATTTAACCCATTAGGCGAACACCTAGGTTAACATCACATCCCTAGGCTTTTTAACTATTTAGAAAAACAACAAAAATAATCATTCACTTTCTAGTTTCTTCTCTTAGCTTAATATTGTTAGAGCAAAATTAGAATTAGAAATCAAAAACCTTTGTTTGGAAGTGCAATCTAGTTGTTCCATTTACTTTCGTCAAGTGTATACCCTTAACACCCATATTAAACTTCCTGTGAAAATTGACGTCGATTCTTGTTGGGTACTATTCTTCCAACGACCGTTTTCACTCACTATTGAGTGCGGATTGGACGTGGATCACTTGCCCTACATCGTACTCCATGAGTCTAGCTTTGATACCGCATTTGTCACATCTCAAGCCCATGGTACGTATTATCTGCTTTAGCCTAACAGATCTCATGAATTTGTTCGTTGGGCTAACAGTGACAGATCTAAAGGTTAAGATGCGAGTTTTCGATAACGAGTAGCTTTTTCNAACTGACAAAAAATCCTCAATAATATGACAATTATACCCTTGGCAAAAGATATAAAATCTGCATCGCGTGATTTGCAACCTCATTCATAAAAATAGATCTCCTCCATCCACTCCGTCCCTCCTCAAAAGATATCCTTCAACCCTGGTCGATGATCCCCTCTTGTCACGATCCCAAATTCCCTCTGTAGGAGGTCGTGATGGGACTAGGTGAGCCTATCAATGCAGAATAATCATAAATACCTGAAAATAAATAAACTACAATTCAAATGATTACAACTCCCAAAACCGGTAGAAATAAGTCACAAGCTTCTAAAATTTATTCTCAATATTTCTATGTATCAAGATCTAAAGACAAATAAGGAAGAAACAATAAATAATAGAAGGGGACTCTAGAGTCTGCGGACGCTGGCAGATATACCTCGAAGTCTCCGTGCGCAGGTAACTCATTGATGTCTAGACTGGTAAGATGTACCTGGATATGCACAAAAAGATGTGCAGAAGCGTAGTATGAGCATACCACAGCGGTACCCAGTAAGTGCCAAGCCTAACCTCAGTAGAGTCGTGACGAGGTCAGGTCAGACCCTACTGGAGAATAGATAATGACATGAAAAAATATTTAAATAATTTAATAAGATTAAATGACTATGGAAATGAATCAAATAGTATGTCACAATTAATGATACCAAATAATATTTCGTGGAATCAAAACAGAATTTCTTTCAATTTTATGAAAATCACAACAATTAATTGAAGGCAACTATGGCCATAAATCAATATCAACAAGGGCACTACCGAGGTACCGCCTCGTAGTCCCAAATTATAAATAATTTCATAATATCTCATTTTCTTATATCACCGCGGGAGCCTTCACGATTTTTCAAATTTTGTACGCAAGTTATAAATAACATAACAGAGGTATAAAAATTTTCAAAATCAGATTTCGACCCCGATATCAAAAAGTCAACCCATCGGTCAAACTTCCCAAAAATTTAACTTTCGGCATTTCAAGCCTAATTCCACTACAGACTTTCAAATAAAATTTCGATCACGCTCCTAAGTTCAAAATCACCATACGGAGCTGTTGGAATCATCAAAATTCTATTCTGGGGTCATTTGCACATAATTCGACATCCGGTCACTATTTGAACTTAAACTTTAAATATTTCATCAAAATTCCATATCTCGGGCTAGGGACCTCGGAATTTGATTTCGGGCATACGCCCAAGTTTCAATTCACGATACAGACCTATCGGAACTGTCAAAATACTGATCCGAGTCCGTTTGCTCAAAATATTGACCAAAATCAACTTAGTTGTGTTTTAAAGCTCTAATTCATATTTACATCCATTTTCACATAAAAACTTTCTGAATTTTTTTTTACGGACTGTGCACGCAAGTCGAGTAATGATAAATAGATCTTAGATCACATAATTAATTATTAAATTTAAAGATGACATTTTGGGTCGTCATATTCTCCACCTCTAAAACAAACGTTCGTCCTCTAACGGAGTTAGAAAAAGTACCTAAGCTGGTGAATAAGTGTGGATAACAGCTGCGCATATCATGCTCGGCCTCCCAAGTCGTCTCCTCAATCGGATGACCCCTCCACTGAACCTTCACGGAAGCAATGTTCTTTGACCTCAGCTTTCGAACCTGCCTATCTAAAATAGCTATTGGTTCCTCAACATAAGATAGATTTTTGTCCACCTGAACCGAACTGAAGTCTAACACATGAGACAGATCGCCGTGATATTTTCGAAGCATAGAAACATAAAATACCGGATGAACCGCAGAGAGACTAGGTAGTAGTGCAAGTCTGTAAACCACATCTCCAACCCTTTCAAGAATCTCAAAAGGCCCAGTATACTTAGGGCTCAACTTGCCCTTCTCCCCGAATCTTATCACACCCTTCATAGGCGAAACCAGGAGTAATACCTGTTCACCAACTATGAATGCAAACATCGCAAACCTTCCGATTCGCATAACTCTTCTGTCTAGATTGGGCTGTACGAAGTCGATCCTGAATCAACTTAACCTTTTCCAAGGCATCTGAACCAAGTCTGTACCCAATCTCGGGCTAGGGACCTCGGAATTTGATTCCGGACATACGCCCAAGTCCCAATTTACGATACGGACCTACCGAAACTGTCAAAATACTGATCCGAGTCCGTTTGCTCAAAATATTGACCAAAGTCAACTCAGTTGAGTTTTAAAGCTCTAATTCATATTTAAATCCATTTTCACATACCAACTTTCCGAATTTTTTTTTATGGACTATGCACGCAAGTCGAGTAATGATAAATAGTGCTTAGATCACAGAATTAGTCATTAAATTTAAAGATGACATTTTGGGTCATCACACCTCTCCTCTCAACAACTTTATCAGAAAATCATAAACTTGAACCATATTCATATTCTGAATTCAAAATTACAAAATACATTGTAAGTATTGCAATTCATCTTCATAATTCACATTAGTTTGTGAAACTGATTGAACTACGTGATATATGTTTCTATAATTATTTTTGTAATTCGTCATGCATTTTAAGTTTTGAACTTAAAAAATAAAATCTGAATTCGATTAACGCATATAGATATTTTCAGTTATGCTCATTTACAAATCACACTTATATGAAATTGTTTGACGTATATAGCATGAAGTTTTCACTTATAGGTCTTCAATAAATTTTCAAAATTTCAAATTTAATGCATGAAAGATATAGAATAAAGTTGTTTCATGTTGAAGTCTGAAATTTTAATCAAATACAAGCTAAAACTTTATGCTAATGTAGCATGAAGTTGTTTCACGTTGAAACTAAAATTTCATGCTAATGCATGCTGAAGTTATTTAGTTCATTTGATAGAACTTTATACCAACACATGGTGAAGTTTTGTCATGCAGTCTATAGTATGCTGAAGTTTTTTAGTTCATTTGCTAAAATTTCAAACTAAACATGCTTATATTTTTGTCCCACATAATGTAATTTTCTAATGAATTTTTGCTAATACATGCTGAAGTTATTTAGTTCATTTGCTAAAATTTCAAACTGAAACATGCTAAAGTTTTGTTCTGCAGTCTACAATCTACAATAAACTTCTTTAAATAATACAATCTACAATTCACATAATACTTTAGTAAATTTTACCTTTAAATATAATTTCGAGAAAAAATTACTGGTTTGTGAACCTTTACTAGTGCAATATAAATGAACGATTCATGGTTTTTGAGTTTACATTATACTTCTGTAATTGTTAGTCTTTAAATATAAAATCCAGAAAAAATTACTGATTTTTGAATCTTTAAGTAAAATAAAGGAAAATCTAAGAATGATTCATGATTTTTGAATTCACATTATACTTCAACAATTGAGAGCTACTACTTCGGGTCATTTGAAGTTTCAAACTCCAGGAACAATTACTAAATTTTGAACTATAAATATTCAAAGTTCAGTAAATATTTCTAGAGTTGTTCCGTATTTTAGATAAAAATATTTATCCGGACTCGTTGATAGATCTAAGTGAATTACTACTTACTCATTTTGTTTTCAAGCGGGAGAAGGCCTTTTACCTGTAAATGACTCACGTCTCAAAATAATTCAAATTCACACTCCGCTTCCTATTGGTCCATTCAAAATGACACGGATCGAGACACCTGTAATATCTACCGTAGATCAAATGTCAATCTGACGGCCACAAACAACCATCCGAAAAACCAAAAGACAACCAAACATCTCTATAAAAACCATGTGCAATTCAGACCCATTCCACATCTCTCGCTCCGACAATCAAGATTTCCTTCAAATCTTTCATCATTTTGGTCTAAAATTCTAATATCTGCAAATGGATACTAGCGGAAAAGCGAAGAAAGGTGCAGCCGGAAGAAGAGTCGGCGGTCCAAAGAAGAAGCCGGTTACCCGGTCTGTTAGAGCCGGTCTTCAGTTCCCGGTCGGTAGAATCGGTCGATACTTGAAAAAAGGCCGGTACGCTCAACGTGTTGGTACTGGTGCTCCCGTTTACTTAGCTGCTGTTCTCGAATATTTGGCTGCTGAAGTAAATTTCCTTAATCCTTCTATTACTCCTCACTTTTTACCACCTCACATTTGCTAATTTAGAGTTCAATTAGGATCTAGGGTTTTAATGTAGTTAGATTATCGTAGAATATTTTGAAATGTTGATATAGGGTTGAATTTACATTGCTGTTGTATAGTTCTTTTCTCTGATTTTTCTTTTTGGGGTTATAGGTGTTGGAATTGGCCGGAAATGCAGCACGTGACAACAAGAAGAACAGGATTATTCCAAGGCATGTGCTTTTAGCTGTGAGGAATGATGAAGAGCTAGGGAAGTTGCTTGCTGGTGTGACAATTGCACATGGTGGTGTTCTTCCCAACATTAACCCAATTTTGTTGCCAAAGAAAACTGGAGGTGAAAAGGCTGGCAAAGAACATAAATCTCCTTCCAAAGCAACCAAATCTCCTAAGAAGGCTTAGATTTAGTGGCTGTTATAAGCCTCTTGCTTTTCTATCTTTATTTGGATCTTCATTGTATGTAATTCTGGTGTTAGATTGTGTTAATGTCTTTCAGGGATATTAAAAAGGAAACTAGTTGGAACTTGTTAGATCTTGTTAGGTGTTCCTCTATTATCAATCAATGAAACCTCTTGTTTCGATTTTACAATTTCATATCCTTTGTGCTTGGCTTGTTTCTATTCTTCCTCTCGAGCCTTTCTACCTCCTTAGGGTGGTAAGGTCTGCTTTTGTGTGATTCCACCTTTTTGTCTTGTTGTTGTTGTTGTTGTTGTTGTATATCCGTTGTGCTCTTGTGCTTGAAATGGTGACTATGTGCACCTTTTGGATTGTGAATGTTGAAGGAATCATATCATCTATAAAGTGAGAAATGATAATAGTGCATTTATGGTTTGACTTAGAATCTCTTTACAGTTGAGAGCCATGTCAAAGGCCTCCTTTACACGCTAAAGATGGAGAACTTCGCCCATTTTCTTTATTCTTTTTCAATGTTATAAAGAGGCACCCATCATCTTGGGGATTGATGAGTTTTGATTCTACAGATGAAAGATATTGGGCATTGGTGTCACTTTGTAGTCTACTGTCTTAGATTAATAAACGTTAAGAATTTGTTTACATATGCTTTTATATTCAAGTTTATTCTTGTTGGGGCTTATGAAATCCCTAACTTTAATGTATATTAACTGTGGTTGGACTTCTAGTCAAGTGTAATTTTGAAGCAATTTTTGGTTTTCTAGTTGGTAATAGTAGAAAAATCCGATTTTGAGACGAGGTTTGGATAAGGCATACACCTCTGAAAGTTCAATTTCAACACATTTGCAGCATCTGATTTTCCTTTTGTTGAGGGTGGGATCTTTTTCTCAGAAGAAACACAAATGAGTGGGAAATTGAAAGAACATGCTCTCTGTTGCAAACTAATCACCACTATTTTTTTGGATGAGCATAAGGAAGACTATTAAACGGAGGACTTTTTCATATAAGTCTTGTTAAAAGCTACTTACATCGTGCAACAACTACTTTTGGGCTTGGGGGGATGATTTGGTACAATTTGAAATGAATGTTTACCTATTTTTGCACTGTAAGTCTGTAAGACTACTAACCAGATTTGGAGCTTGTTCTTTGGAATCTTTGGCATGACCTGGAAAATGCCTCACTCCATTCCGGAGTTTCTCATTGCTGGAGTAGAGATGGTCTCAACAAGAAAGCACTCAAGATTTGGAATACAATTCCTCAAGCTATTTGCTGGATAATATGTACTGTAAGAACAGTAGAATTTGTGAAGGCTAATGGAGAAACATACATAGCCTTAAGCTTTTTTGCTAGCTTTTTGGCGCAACATGGTCTTTGTAAATGATGCAGATTTCATGCTAGAAATGATCGTGGATTTTCACAATCTGTAAATTTTGACGCACAAGCTTAATGCTATTTATATCATCTATAAGTTTCACCATTATAGAACTTTAAGTTTTAGTATGATTTTTGAGGGAAAAGTTCTTTGTTTATTTGTTTTTTTGTTCAGTGACGATAATTATAACTTCACGACAATAACTTGCAGTTACAGAACTAAAGTGCATAATTACTGGTAAGAATAATCCTCTTTAAAGAGTCTTACATTGAAGGTCTATAATTCTCTACTTTTATAGCGTATTTGGCCAATTTTTTTTTTTTTTGGGGTCCAAAAATACTTTTTTTGGCCAAAAATTGAGGTGTTTGGCCAAGCTTTTGGAAGGGAAAAAGTGCTTTTGAGGAGTAGCAAAAGCAGTTTTTGAGAAGCAGATAAAAATAGTTTCTCTCCAAAAGCACTTTTCTGAGAAGCACTTTTGAGAAAAATACACTTAGAAACAGTTTTCAAAAGCTTGGTCAAACACTAATTATGCTCAAAAGTGTTTTTCAAATTAATTAGCCAAACACAAAGTGCTTATCACCAAAAACACTTTTTTAAAAAGTACTTTTGAAAAAAACAGTTATCAAAATAAGCCGATTTTAGAAGTTTGGCCAAACATGCTATTAATTACATTAACATCCATCCAGAAATTCTACTCAACATTAATAGCGACAAAATTCCCAATGAATTTGTGTTACTAAGGCATATTCTTTTCAAACCAGTCACTTCATTCTTCGAGCTCCTAATCCGCATTCAGTATTCTACCCAACCAATAGAGCAAGACGTTTTTTGACACATGCATTTATTATATAATCAATGATTAAGCGAAATATGTATTTTCATTTTAATTTGTACTAATTCTTAGGGTTACATTGTTTGATTTGATGTATGTAAGTCTCCCTTGCTAGACTGATCACTTCACCCCATTCTTGTGTTCAACTCGATTACAATGTTTCATCTTTCTCCTATTTTTGCCAAAATAGCAAAGATAAGAAAGCACTTCCTAAATTGTTCACTAATAAAGTGAAATAACACTTGGTAGTTGTTTTCGGTCTCCGATTTCTAGATGCTGAGTAGATGTCCACAGATCTGAGTGTCCTAATTTTCTCAACAATGTGCAAATTCTCTCCATGATGTCATCTTGTACATATCCAGATTATTGTTAGAGATACTGTTGGATCCTCCAAGACAAATGAGCCTTAACCATTGAATCTGGTCGAGATATTTTCGGAAAATCACATAAAAAGGAAAACTTCTCCAGAACAAAATGAATAGACGACAGAAACAGAGGGCTAATAAAGTAAGCCTTGATGCATCATTAGAGTCCACCAGAGAGTTATAGGAGCCCGACAGCTTAGGAAACTTCGCAAAATCCAAAATTCAAACAGATAGGAAAACTATAATCAACAGTAGAGAGTAGACACTAACGATTGTCCATGTTGATCAATAGCTTAGTTTAGGGATCTAATGTGCAGTGCGCAATATTCCATGCAGATAACCACCAGTCATAACAAGAGACACAAAGGAGACAACCCCAGCTGGAAAAACCTTCTTTGACTTCAGAAAACGAGATCCCATTACTCCCAGAAGTGCAGCCGAGAGGACGAAACCCATTGATGATGCCAAAACAGGTTGTGTTGGAAGCATAACATAAACAGAGTACAAAAGGGAGGCAGAAACTCCACCTGCAATCAGTGACTTCGTGCTGCCACTCTTCAGATAACCCATAAAACCACCCGCTCCAACCAAGAAAGCATAGCCCAATGTCAGTTTTTGGGACATCGAAAGGGCCATTTTCTTTTTATTGTTATGATCCTTGCCTTCATCTGACTCCCCCTCGTTGCCACCATCATTATTATTATTGCCACCATCATCTCCCCCACCACCACCACCGCCATTTGCACTCCCAGAATCATCTCCACCACCACCTGTCTCTGGCAGAATATCAATTCCCGGCCCTGCTGAATCAACAGTGAAGGTGGTTGGCATTGTAGAATCAGAGACAACCCTGCCTTTGACTCCCCAGTAGGAAGGCTTTGATCGAGTGGACAAGTTTGGGTACATCGTGCAAGGGGTATTCAATGGATGTAGAGATGAACAAAGTGACCTCAATGGCTGACTATGAGCAAAGAAATGCTGCCTTTGACTCCAAGCTTGGACGCGAAAGTTAGGAAGCACTATGGAGGATTGAGCAATGACCAAAAATTCTCCCATGATGTGTATGCTGAATTATGAGAAAGTTATTTACGGGATGTTTTGTTTTCTGTAGCTTGTGTATTCTGAGCAACTTCCACAAAAATCAGTCTTCCATCAACAATCTGCAACCAGTAGATCATTTCAATGACAGAACAGAAAAACGGGAAGCAGCAAGACTCTTCAGACAGCCAACATTCGATATTTCACCAGGAGGTAAAAATGAAACAAAATTAAATACACTTTATAATGCTGGAAAACAAATTCCCTTGGGGAAGTAAAAGAGCTTTCTGCAAAGACATAATGCCACTTAAATTCCCCCTGATTGTTGAGGATTTCTTAATTTTAGCAGAGCAGAATCTTTTCCCTGGCCCTTATAGTTGACTGTCTTTTTTTCGCGACAATCTCACAAAGCCAAGATTTGGAACAACAAAAAACAATCAAGATTCTGCACATAAGTAAATCAAGCATAATTGTTACAAACAAATAACCAACCACCACAATCTCAAATTAGCTTTCAAGCCAAAGCTTGGTGCATTATTGACCTCTCCAGTTTACGGAAAACCTTTCATGCATTTTTTTTTTATGAAGTAAGCAGGATATCATTAAAGGCATCAAGAAGATGCAAAAAGATTACAAAACAAAGTTTGTTAGCTCATTTACAGTTGAAGTGCTACAAAACTAGAGAGCCGACAAAGTCCAAAAATACATCAAAAGTAGATATACAAACAAACCACAGAGCTGCACCAAAAGTAGACGTACACAAATAATTTTCAAGAACAGCACCAATTTTTTCCTAACATATTCATATCATTGATATAGGATGTCTACTGCTCTCAGCAATTGTGCTTTCACTCATCTCTATTTCTGTCTACTCAGTACTTTCCTGTGTTTTATCAAAAATTATACTCCCTCCGTTTCAAATTAGATGAGGTGCTTTCCTTTTTAGTCTGTTCCAATAAATGACAAATTTCTAAATTTGGAAATAATTCAACTTTAAACTCTTTATTTTACCCTTAATGAGAGGCTTTTATAACCACACAAATATCATGGCCCCACAAAGTTTTTACCCCTTAAGCTTTTAAGACTACAAGTTTCAAAAGTTTTCTTCTTTTTTCTTAAATTCCGTGCGAGTCAAACTACCTCATCTAAATTGAAACGAAGGGAGTAACATTCTTTTTGATCTGTGTACACAAAGTTTAGGGATTACCCTTTTGAACAACTTAATGTTCTCAACTGTCATTTTGCACTAAAAACACACACAAAAAGAAACTTCAGCTGAAGTGGGGTAATAGAAGCATAGATGCAGCAATGAGGTCCCAATATTAGATGAGAAGTCAAGAAAGGTAGAGACCACAGGGGGTGACAGGTGGCAGTGGCTTAATAGAGGGGAAACAGACAGTTCGGCACCTTGGAGAGCAGCGGATTGGAGTTTGATATCATAATTTTGTTCTTCAGCTGACATGTTATACAAAATAGGAGTATACTTTTCTTTCTTCTTTTTCTTGTTTTGTTTGTTACCTGCTGAAAATTTCTTATCTCCAAAATAATAACTCATCATTTTGCAGTCCTTATTTTCCTTCAAATGATAACTTCTATAACCTCTTTAGTCTTTGCTACAACTTCCCAGTTTCTTATCAATAGCTCAATGACTACCACTACTTAAAGCAATGAAACATCTGCGACCAGTGAACTTGAAGAGATTTTGCTCTACTATATTGCTTGCAAAACCAGAAGGAAGACTCGCAACAACAAGAGACTTCCTACTATTCATTTCCACTAAAGTTTATGAGACAACTAATTCAACAAAGGTAGATTATATATCCATAAAAGAATTAAATTAAATAAACACCAAAAACAACAGCAACAATAATCGAACATAATGAGATACAGTTCCTAGACCAAACACCGTTTCTCCATAGATTTTCTAGAACCTAGACCCCTTCCAAGTGAAAGCTAGATTTCTTTAGATGGTTATATTCTTCGCATGTTTCGTTATAAGCATATTAATGCCCCCAATTTACATTTTCCAACCTTATCATTAGTTTCATTCGAGCAATGATTATCCTGTCTCCAACTGAAAGCATTTGCAGGACCAAGTCCTTTAGACCAACAAA